TGTCGTTCTCAGACCTGGAACAGTGCACGTAGATAAGCACCCAGTGTATATCTGCTGCATAAATAAATGAAGATGGGAAAGGTGGGGTCTCTCCTTTCTCAGAGGTTGAGGGGTTAAGTTGTCGCTTCTGATCCCACTGCTCCTCTGCCCAGGTCAGCTTGAAAATTGAGGACGGCTCTCACTGGCTGTCATGACAAACTGGCTCCTGCATGCACACTATGCCCCTGCCTGCTCTCCACTCAGTTCTGATTTCCCTGGGCTGTTTTTAAATAATGCCAAAGCCAGCAGGGCTCATTTGAGTTCGTGGGTCATGTTTTATAGCTGTTTTACTTTGGTTACTTTCAACCTGATCACGAACTTCCCAGTGCTACATTAAACCTTATCAGGACCAAGAAAGAGCAGAACAATTTCCTGCCAAGATTGGAAACATGCAGGATGAAATGAACAGGAGCCCCTCCCAGCAGTCCCAGCTCACGCTGGTCCAGTCTGGCCTCATTTCCCACCCCAACCTCCAGCCAAAAAACCTGCCTGCTGCTCTGGAGTTCTGGCCTCTGCTGACAAGAGCCCTCTCTGCCCTTCTCCAGCTCCTGAAACCCTGTCCATTCTGCAAGGGCCAGTGCATACCAATTCTTCCATGAGGCACCCAGCAGTCTCTGTGCTTTCTTGGTACTGTGCAAGTTCCCTGTGCCTCTCAGCTGCTTTTTCTTCCTCCACCTTGTGTGTCTTGCCCTCCTTTGCATCCTGGACTCTCAGCTCATCTGCTCATTTCCTACAGCACCCAGCGGTGGTTGGGCAGAGGGCAAGTGCTGTAGAACCGCCACCCCGGCCCTGGCCACAATGTGGTTCAGGGGTCACCATGTTTGTAATGTATGCTAAATGTAAAGCAGAAATTATGAATGTTCACTTCTCAAGGGAACAAAAGGCAGAAAAAGATGGGGACATCAAAGCATGCCTTAGGTAATGATGACGACAGCAATGTTCTCGCTGACAAGCCACCTCCGGAGCATGAGACTTGCTGGGCTGCTGCCACCTTTCAGCCTAACTACAGATTATTGGACCGTTGGTATAAATTCCTTTGAGATAACATCAAAGTTACTTGCTAGGTCATCTCCTAGGGAGATGATACAGTTTTAAATCCTGTTGAGACTTTCTAACGCTTGTAAAATAAAATTAAATTAGAATGGCTTAACTGTTGAACAAGCCTAATACAATGTAAAAGAACTATGATTTTCTATCTCAACTTTCCATCTCATAATCAAAGATCAAAGGTCACATGTATAACTTCTATATATGACCAAGGACCAGTACTGAGGCCTACTTCACACCTGAAACAACACAGGACTTAGTTGTGAGGGGGTTTGTAAAAGGATGTGTTCTAGGATTATGCCACTTCTGTCCCACAGTTTAGGGTTCTTTGTAGCCTGAAGTCCCTGAGTTCTTCCAGCATGTCTGGGACAAGTGGCCCTAGATAGCTGGCATTTCCACCAGGAAGTCCCAGTGAATGGTCCTGAGAGGCTGGGATAATCTACCTGAGGAGGTGGCACAGACTGGAACAGAACCATGACACCCTGGTATGTTTCTTGGTGGCAGCAGTGGGGAAAGGACCCCACCTTGGTGCTCAAAGCCAGGGCTCTCATCAAAGAGGTGTGTGGGGGGGTATGTGGCCCCAGAATAAATTACCTTCACGGGAGGATAGAGAAGGGCTAGGGGAGAGGGCAAAACAGGTTTGTACAATTTACCAGGGCATAAGTACCAGCACCTTACTTTTTGCCCAACAGGAGAATAGCACCCCGAGCAGATACATGGCTATGATTACTGCTGCTTCTCCTGGCTGGCTCATCCCAGTACACTCACTCATCCAGCACTTTCCCAGCTACAGATCTAGGAGCCAGGAGACAGGCCAGCTCAGCAGCCCACCTATTAACCTGAACAATGGGTGTCACAGAGCCAGCCTCAGCAGCAATGGGACCAAAGGACATGCACTGGCTAAAAAGTATTTCAGCAGCACATTATTAAAATATAGCAAAATGTTAAAAATGGATTAAATTTCTGAGATACAGGCTGGCTGGTTAGCTCAGTTGGTTAGAGTGTGGTGCTGAGAACACCAAGGCCCAGGGTTTGATCCCCAGCCATTAAAAAAAAAATTCTGAGATAGTTTATATCTTCTTTGCCTGCAGTACTTGGTGGGCTTCTGCATTGCCCCTTGGCACTGTTGGCTATCTTCCTGGGGACAGAAGCCACCTTTCCCCAGCCTGTGTAAGGCAGACCTTTTAGGCTGTGTGGCCTAACCCAGGGGCTCCCTCAGACTGGTAGGTAGTGGCAGGAGGCTTCACGTCACAGTAGCTGAAATTGTAGCCATCCAGTGGGTCTCCCCGAGGAATGCCATCGAGGCAGGGGTCCTCAAAAGCTCTGGTGTTGTCCCACATGCCTGTCCTCTGTAGTGTGGCCTGGAGAAGTTCTCGGATTCTTTGGTTTTCTTTGGAGGTAGACTCCCAAACAACATCAAGCTCACCTTCCATTTCTCTGAAAAATAAAACAATGGAAAAGTTTAAAATAGCACAATTTAAAAAATACTTATGGAGCCCGTATGAATCCTAAAGTAGCAAGAATGGGACTGGCTGGTTAGCTCAGCTGGTTAGAGCATAGTGTCGATAACACCAAGACCAAGGGACTGGAACCTCATATCCAACAGCCACCCCCGCTCCCCCCAAAAAAGCTACAATAGCAAGAACATAAATGAAGGAATGTTTAATGTCAGAGAACAGAGCTGCTGTGCTTGGGTCTGAAGGAAATACTCCAGTGTTGAAGGAAGCACCCAGGTCCCCTGGAAATAGAAAAAAATACAAAGGCACAGGCTGCTAAAGAATTTCTACAGTCAGATGCTACAACACAATGTCCTGGCCATGGGTGCCCACATAGCATGGCCCGGTAGGCCTCTCCTGTGTCCCCCTGCCTGTCCCCACTGTGACCTGGCCAACACTCAGGGACCTTTCACAGGCCCCATCCACAGAGCCACTGATGGGCCCAGACATGAAAAGTGAGTTAGGAGATAAGGAGGGATACTTGAGGATTGGGACCCATAACCAAGGACACAGGGAAGACTGGCCTGGACCATGTGCCAGGAGGGTGAGTGCCCAGAGGGAACCAAGGCTTGTGAGAAATGGGAAGGGCGGCAAAGCAAGGACTCTCTGTGCCAGGTGCCAGGTGGGGTGCTGAGAAGACGGGGGCAGACAAAAGTATCCATGTCCTCACAGGGCAGTGGTCCCCTGGGGGAAAGGACCAGGATACCAGCCACCACCTCACAGGGCAGTGAGCCCCATGGGGAGTGTCGGGGCAGAAGAGCAAGCCTCTGCTGGGAAGAAGAGCAGGCTTGTCCAGGGTGGCAGGGTTGGAGAGGCCAGCTCCTTCACAGACACTGCCAGATGGTTCTGGAAAATGCGAGAAACTGGATTAGTGGGTGGACTTAGCATTTGTTTAAGAAGCAGGACACTGAGGTTCAGGGAGGCCAGTGACATGCTTGCTTGTCCAGAGTCACTTTTCTTGTGAACTGTTGCTTCCTTCCAAGGCTCATGATGCCTACTGAGTGTTGGGCACAATTTAATTAAACCATATCTAAAAAATCCTCAAATTTCTGTTTTCTGGCACAAATCACCCAGATATTTGATAAATTACAGCAATCACGTTTAAAGGTGTGGCTGAACTCAAAAGAAAGAACAGAAAATCTCTAAGGGAAGAAAAAATGAAGATTAACTGAAACCAAAGAGGTGGGCAAATAAAATGTCAGCGTTGTTTTGAGGACAAAAGCCAATGCCCCATAGCCAGATTTTTATAGAATGGAGAGTAGGTCTTGGGCCCATGCAAATGTGTGACAGAAATGTCAGGGTTCACTCGTATCATGTTTCTCTTATTCCTAGAAACACTGTGAACTATAATGTCCCAGAAGTAGGCAGGAAAGTAGAAATATGTGACAGACTCTCAAAGAAAGGATGGGTGGAGGGAAAAACTGCAGATCTTCAAAAGAAACCTGCTCTGAAAGGCTGAGTATCCTTGGGGACTGTAGGCAACGGACTGTTCTTGAATAAATGTGGGGGCTGGCTGGTTAGCTCAGTTGGTTAGAGCACTGTGCTAATAACACCAAGGTCCAGGGTTCCATCCAAAAAAAAAAAAAGTTCTTCTGTATTTTTTTTTTGTTTTTGGCAACTGGCTGAGTAAGGGGATCCAAACCCTTGACCTTGGTGTTATAACACTGCGCTCTAACTAACTGAGCTAACTGGCCAGTCCTTCTTTTTGTATTTTTTTTTTAAAGAAGTACTATGGCCTATTTTTAAAAATTCATAATAAAACTAAAGTGGTTCCAGGTTGGAAATGTTCTCGGGCACCGAAGAGAAGCAAATGCAAATTTTCTTTGGAGGAAAACAGCCTCAATTCAGGTCTTCAGGATCCCACAGATTAAATTCAACCAAATATGAGTTCATAGTAAAAATTACAATACATATGGGCCGAGCCTGTGGCGCACTCGGGAGAGTGCGGTGCTGGGAGCACAGCCGCGCTCCCGCCATGGGTTCGGATCCTATATAGGGATGACCGGTGCGCTCACAGTGCTCACTGGCTGAGCGTGGTGCGGCCGGTCTCAAAAAGGACAAAAAAAAAAAAAAAAAAAAAATTACAATACATATAAAGAAACAAGCCTCACAGAACAAGAGTCAACAAAACCAGATTTAAGCCTCCTTCTCCCCAAATTTCAGATATTGGAATTATTATACAAACAATATAAAATAACTATGAATGAAATATTAAAAGTAAAAGTTGAATTAAAAATAAGCAAAGATCAAGAACTTATTTTAAAAACTGATCAGGCATTCCCATACTAGCCAGCCAGCCACCAACCAACCAACCAACCAACCAACAAAATGATAACCAGAATGTAGACCAGAAAAACAAAGGGATGAAAAATTTAAAAGAGAGGCACATGGAAGAGAGAAGGTCTAATATACATTGAATTTAAACTGCAGAAGGAAATTTAGAAAAAATGAGAAAAGAGGTGTTTTTAAGAGATATTGACAGAATTTTCTAGAACTAATGAAAGACACAAAATCACAGAGTATAATTTATACTAAGTGGATAAAAAAAAAAGGAATCCATAGTTAAACACATAACAGTGAAACTGCAGAATATAAGAGACAGAGGAGATCTGAAAGAGGCAAGAGAAAAGATGGACCACTACTTTTAAAAATGACAAAAGGCTTCTCAACAACAACAGTGAAACGGGGAAGACAATGGAATGTGCTGAGAGAACGACTGTCAAAGTAAAATTCTGTACCCAGCAAAATCTAACATTTAACTTCTGGAGCTAAAAATAATAATATAAAATAGATCTTTGTTTCTCATTTTCATATATCTATATCTAGATATAATGACACTAGACAATGACAGCACATAAACAGAGTGGAAAAATAATTAAATTAGAGCATTAGAATTTGTATTTGAAGATGGGGCCGGCCCGGTGGCGCACTGCTACAGCGCGCCGCTTGGGAATGCGGCGGCGCTCCCGCCGAGGGTTCGGATCCCACATACAGACCGGTTCCCACTCACTGGCTGAGCAAGGTGCGGGAGCAACACCGAGGGTTGCGATCCCGTTGCCGGTCCCAGTCCGGTACGGGCGCGACACTGAGGGTTGCGATCCGTTGCCGGACACGAAAAAAGACAAAAAAAAAAGAATTTGTATTTGAAGAGAGAAATGTAGAGATGTTGATTAAATTTAGATTTTTTAAATGTTAAGTATCCACGGTGAAACTTCAAGGGTAACCACTAAAAGAAGAAAAATGAGTGTATAACTTTCAAACCACTGGAGGGCAAAAAATGAAAAAAGGGAGAAAGTAAAGATAAAAGTTCTATTTTATTAAAGTAATTCTAAATCTCCCATCTGGTAAGAAACGTGGTATTGGCCCAACTTTTTACCAAGTGAGCATTTATGTGGATAAGAACTTGTGTGACTATAATACCCATGTTAGACAAGAATTCATTTTGCCTGACATTAAGGAGAATCTGATTGCTGGGAAACATAGACACGGCATTCTGCATAGCATCAAATACACTGATTATAACTTGAAGAAAATCACACCCAAGAATTCTGCATGCATCAGTTTATATTCCAGACTGTGAAACACAACACAGCCATTATGAAAAGGCTGACAAGTGTGAAACCAAAACAATGTGAGGGGACCACAAAGTTCACCTTCACAAAGCATATGATATTCCCAGACGTTTTTAATACACTTGCAATACTTTTTCTATTTTATATATATATATATATTTTTTTTTTCTTTTCCTTTTTGTCTTTTTTTGTGTCCGGCAACGGATCGCAACCCTCAGTGTCGCGCCCGTACCGTACTGGACCGGCAACGGGATCGCAACCCTCGGTGTTGCGCCCGCACCTCACTCAGCCAGTGAGCGGGAACCGGTCTGTATGTGGGATCCGAACCCTCGGCGGGAGCGCCGCCGTGCTCCCAAGCGGCGCACTGTAGCAGTGCGCCACCGGGCTGGCCCTCTATTATATATTTTAAGGATAAAAGTGTAACTGATATAATACCTTATATCCACAGAGAATATATTGCACCCATAATCTTATGATTATGATTTTACAAAAAGGGAATGATGAGAAATTTTAAAGTTCTCAGAAATTAAGAAAAAAATTATAGCAGGAAAAAAACACTAAATCAAAAATGAATAAAATTTCCCAAGAAAATGAAATAAAACAAAAATATCAAAGAGATGGAAAAGAGTGGAAAAATTGGAAAGACAAGAGGACTGGATTAATTTAGGAAATCCAATTCAAATGACAGGAATTTTTAAAAGAGAGAATAAAGAAAAAGAGGAGCAAATAAAAATCAAGGCCAACAATATTTTCAGAACTAAAATGTAAAAATAAAATTCAGCAATCAAACAAAACAGGCCCAGAGTGTTAACAGAAAATTCTATTAAACACTCAAAAATCAAACATACTCTGTGGGCCTATATTACGTGGGGCTGGGCTGGTCCTACCTTTTCTCCTGCAGTGCCTTGTCCAGGACCTCCTGCTTGTCCTGCAGGATCCGATGGAGGTACCTCATTTCCTGACGGTACTGAGCTGTCTTGCCAGCAAAGTCCTCCTGCTGCTCCATCAGACGGTGACTGATGTCACCCAGCTTCAGTGCTGCCCGTTTCTTATACCCCTGAGGGGGAGGGAGGGACTCAGTAAGCAAGGGGATGCTGCCTATGGCCCAGGTGGCTGGTGCTTCCTGGGGGCATTCCCTACCTACTCCTTGCACTGTCAGAGCCGACTGAGCTGAGTACGCCCTAGATAAGTCTGATCTTGCAGCGCAAGTCTAGATCATAAAAGTCATAAAAAGTGGTATCAGTATATGCCACAAATAAAATTAAAACATAAGATATCACCACCACAGAACAAACTGGATGTTCTTGCAAATTAATCTACTTCTGCAACTTTTTCAGGACAATTTTTTTTTAAAAAATGAAAGTTTACTCTACTTTCTACCTTCCTTCCCTGTTTGCCTATCATTTTTTCCTTTGTTGTATTATTTCTATATTTTCAGAAAATATTTACATTCTATTCTACCAGCCTATCTCCACTTAGTTCACATGTATATTCTTTGCTCACTACAAGTTAACTTTGTCAACGTCTTCCTAATCATTTCTTGGTTTTCTCAATTCGGGTTGATTGATCCTTTGAAAAGGCTTATGAAAAAATGTTCCCATAGTTCTTATGTGCTCAAAACTGTCCAAAGGGCAGCTTGGTTATATGAAAACATCCTTGGCTCATACTCTTTCCATGAGTATTTATAGATGGCACTCAGCTCCCTGGCACTCAGGGTTGTTGTTAAGTAATGTGAGGCCAACGTGGTTTTCTCTTACTTATGTATTATTGGTCCTTGGTGTGCAAGGCATTCTTTCTTTATCTTAAAGCCATATGTCTTAGTGTCAATTTTCTAGGTCCATTCTGGGTCAGTTTTTCCGAGATACATAATGTGTCCTTTTGATATGTATATTCAAGTCTTTTTTTATTTCAGAAAAGTTTTTATAAATTATGGCTTGAAGCAGAATAAGCCATTGTTTTGGTTTCTTCTTTGGGGACTCTAACAATAGATATATTGGGTCTCACTTTCTACTGATTTTTTTTTTCTTTTTACATCTTCATTTCTATTTTCTTGACTTTGCCTTTTTCATTTCTATCTTTTATGTCCATTATTGTGCTTTTATAATATCTTTCTCCTTGTAATTTAGTCTACATTTCTGAAATTATTTCTCTTTTCCTTCTATTTCTTTCCTGTGTTGTGTCAGTTCCATTTCACACCCTCCTGTCTGGACATCTTTTCTTGAGGTTCCTGTGTTTCTGCTTTGTGGTACTTCTTCCTGGCTTTGTTGAGCTTTATCGACCTAGCTATCTCTAGCTATCTATCTACCTACTTACCTATCTTCCTATCAGTTTACTTTGGACTATAGGTTTCAGTTTTGATCTCTGTGGCAACATTTTTTCTGGTAAGTTTTCATCAGTAGGAAAGTTATACTTCTTCAAGCTTCATGCATCACCCCTTTTGTAGCCCCTTCTCTGGCTCTCTGAATCCAGCCTGGTTTGGAAGGGCTTCTGCCTATAGCCCTGATTTTCCCAGATCTCATCATGGCCCCTGACTTCCAAGGTGATGTCCTCACTTTTAGAAGTCATATTCTGTTGGAGTTTCCTGAGATGTCACTTCTGGATTTCCTCAAGTCTTTTCTTCTCTTCACTGCCCCAGAGATCCTGCCCTGTCTAAACTGGATCCTGCTCACAGATTTCTTCCGTGGGTGGGCTCTTTTTACTACTTGTATTCAAATGAATGATAATGACACAGATTCTCAAAACAAGGCCAACTACTCTGAAGATCACACCTTCTTTTTCGGAAAGAAAAACCAGCAGGAAAACCAGAAAAAATAAAAAAGGAAAAAAAGAAAATGCCCCACAGAGGAAAATTAAGTTATTCATAACACATCTATGCAGATTCCCATCATTAATAGTATGGTATATTCCTTCTAGCCCTCGTGATGCAGAGTTGAGATATTGTTTTGTACATTGCTTTTGGTTTGTTGAATGTTAAAAATAATTTATATTATCTAATTCATCCCCCAAATATTTACTGAATTTATTGACTACTATGTGCCAGGTGCTATTTCATGTGCTTGGGATATACCAGTGAATAAAAACAGACAAAATTCTCTGCCCTTGCAGAGCTTATAGTCTCTTCAGGGGAGACAGATAATAACAAATAAACATAATAAATAAAGTACATGGTCTGTTAGAAAGTGATATTGTCTATGGAAGAAACGATAAAGCAAGGTAATGAGAAACAGGCGTGTGGAAGAGTGGGTGAACAGCTATTTTCAATAGTTAAGGTATGCCTCATTGATAAGGTGATGTGGATATTTGGGGGGAGTGTATAAAATATATAAACAATTTAGTTATTAATAACAAAGCAAACACCACATAACTATCATCTATGGGTTTTTTTTTTGTGACCAGTAAGGGGATCGTAACCCTTGGCTTGGTGTCACCCGCACCGCACTCAGCCAGTGAGCGCACAGGCCATCCCTATATAGGATCTGAACCCGCCACCTCGGCGCTACCAGCACTGCTGCGCTCCCAGAGCTGCACTCACCCAAGTGAGCCACAGGGTCGGCCCACTATCATCTATGTTAATAGAACATTATCAGGATACTAGAAGCCCTCATATCTAATTATGAGATTAATGATCATATCTAATCATAATTATGATATGAGGCCTTCCAGGATCCTGATAATGTTTATCCTAATTATGCTTAGATATAACCATTAATCTCATTTTTTGCAATAATCATCTCCTTACTTTTAAAAAAAATTTTACAATGTATGTATATACCAAACAAATTAGTTTTGCCTGTTTTAAACTTTATGTAAATGCAATCACATTATAGGTACTTATTTGGGTTGTACTTCTTTCACTCAATATTACGTTTGTGAGATTCACATTATTTTTATTTATTTATTTATTTATTTATTGGCAACTAACCAGTACAGGGACTGGAACCCATCACATTATTGTAAATATAATGTGTTCGTTTTTATTGCTATAAGGTATTCTTTTATGAATGTGCAACAATTTATCTGTTCTGCTGATTGGACTCTTTCTTTTTTTTTTTTCCTTTTTGTCTTTTTTCGTGTCCGGCAACGAACCGCAACCCTCAGTGTCGCGCCCGTGCCGGACCGGGACCGGCAACGGGATCACAACCCTCAGCGCTGCGCCTGCCCCTCGCTCAGCCAGTGAGCGGGAACCGGTCTGTATGTGGGATCCGAACCCTCTGCGGGAGCACCGCCGCGCTCCCAAGAGGCGCACTGTAGCAGTGCGCCACCGGGCCGGCCCCATGATTGGACTCTTTCATTTGGGACTATTATGAACAATACTGGTATGATCATTTCTTTACATAGTTTCTAGTATACATGTGCAAGAGTTTCCTGGTCTACAAGAATATATATCCAAAGGAAGAATGGCTGGGTTGTAAACTATGTGAATGTCCTACATTATTAAAGGTTTGACCCAATTTCCAGCAGTAATGTAGAAAAGTTCCCACTGCCCTATGTCATTGCCAAACATTCTGTATTGTCAGATGTCTTAATTTTTGACCTTGTAGGAACAAAACAGGTAAAAACACACCTTCACCTCTGGCCACTTTCAAGATTTTCTCTTTGCCTTTAGTGTTCCACAGTCTCATTACAATGTGTCTAAGTGCAAATTTTTTTTTTATTTATCCTGCTTGGTGTTCAGATTATGACAACTAAGCGCACTTTAAATTTACCATATCTTCATTTACTTTAAAACTGAGTCAGATAGTCAAAGAACATTCTGTGATACAGCACTTATACCACACAATATGAAATTCATACGAAACTAAGATACCTGCTAGGAGTCTATGATGAAGTCATCACAACTCCATAGGCTATATGTTCAAACTAAATCATTCCTATCACTGGAAGCCACAGGATAAATGCCCCAGAGAGTGTGGCACTAATGCAGGTACTTTCACTTTTTTCTCTTAGCAAAGGAGCCCTTTCTTTCAACAGCATCATGCCTAAATGCCCAAATTGAAGAATCAGAGTGGAGCTGCTCTGGTCCACATAGGGAAGGATACCCTGACCACAAGGGGCCACTGCCCATTATAAATGGGAATAGTGATGTTCTGGTGGGTATGCCAGTCTTCCCTGGATTAGTTAGAGGGGGATGATCTTCCCTGGGAAGGTCCAGAATCCACACTGGAGTAGCTCAGAGATGCTGCATGTGGCAGACCCTACTAGAAACCAGATCACCACTCAGACAGCATCTCTCTTGTACCACCTGAAAATCAAGATCTACAGTGCCAAGCAACTCCCAAAAACTAATATTTGTATTCTTTAAGTAAGAGCTAGAAAACACAGTTAAACACAGGAAAATCAAATCTATTCTTTGCATTAGGACACATATGTGGGTCTGAGCAATTTTAAGTTATGTTTTGTTTCATTTAACTTTTTGAAAATAAATAGTTCAGGACAAAACCTTATGTTCCCTAAAACAAAACAAATAAATTCACAACATACACTTTCTCCTATATATATACTGTTCACTTGATGCCACAAGTATTTACACACAAGCCAGCTAATGTTTAGTTTTTCTTAGTTTGCAAATTTTCCAACATATTAAATACCATCAACCAATTTCTCCACTCTAAGCCTGATCAACCATCATCCTACACATACATGCACTTGACCGAGATGGTCTAGATTTTGTTCCCCATGCTTGGAGCTGCATGCCCTCACAGTACCTTCCCTTGTAAGGTCCCCAGTTTCCCTGCCCTCCACCTGGGCCTCTAGCCTGCTGCTGCCCTCCCTGCCCCTGCCTAATAGAAACCAGTTTGGCTGGTAAGGCTGTGGCTGCAGGCTGGAAGGCCACAGTCAGACACCACCTATGAGGAGTAGAGTGGAGGTCAGGTGAGGGGGTGTCCTAGGGCAGGACAGCAGGTACAATGAAAATGGCTTTCTTTGGGCATAGAAATTGGAGGGCACAATCAGGATTAAGGCAAGAAAGGAGCAGGTCAACACTGCTCTCTAAGCCAACAGTGCTGGTCTTGATGATAAAGCCTGGATATTGACTTAACCAAACAGCCAGGAGATTTATTCATATCTTTTCTTTAAAAAAAACAGCTTCATAGTAATTTATTGTGTGGATGAACCAAAGATTATTTAATGAGTTGAGAGGTGCTATTTCTGCCAGTGAAACCTTATATAGCACTGTTTTACTCTGTGGATGCTTAGTAACACATACATGCAAAATACGTCTTTTTCTTAAACACAAAAATCTACCCCAGAAAGTTTCCATTGCTATTTAGAAATGAAATCTCTGAGGCTAAATGACCACTCACCTTGACTTTTTCCTCTAACTTTCCCAAGCGAATATTACCTTCTACAATCTTGTTGAGAACTCCATGCTTCTCATTTTCTAAACATGTAGCCTAAGGAGAAAGGTAAAAACAAAAATAAATGGGCTTTCTGTTTTACAGAAAAATTAAAATAAAAAACTCTTTTGCAAACAGTATTACTGATCACAAGTAATCTCCCTTCTGCCACTTGTTCTTCCCCACCTTTCCTCGCCCCCCACTTATGGTTTCCATCCCCTGCGTGTGAGGACTGTTGGCAGAATTGGAGCCAAAAGCTGAGGAGGGGTGAGAGCAGGGACCGGTATGCTGGGGGCCCTCCTGGGCACAGACTGAAGATCCGAGCCCCACAGACCGGAGGAATGTAAGAGGTTGTAAGGGCTTCCAGAACACATCTTTATTCTTGTAGGATATGGAATTCCTTCAATCACATCCAAGGAACAAGTGCCAAGACACAAATAAACTTGTAACTTGACTAATTTGAATAACTACGAAATTAAAAATAACAATATGAATGTACAATGCTGTTCTCCAAATCAAACGGAATGGGCAGTACATCCAAGAGGGATGTCACCTGAAGCTGAATGATTTAGATCGATAACCAGACGGGAGATGACCTACTACACACTATAAATTAACTATTTTAGATGTTAAAATTTTTTAAAAAGTAAAAGTGAGCATTTCTTCTAAGGCAGGCTACTGGTGACAGTTTGATTTTCCAGAAGGGAAAGATAAGACACAGCAGAGAGTACCACTCCTGGATCTGGGCTAGTTAGAGCTAGCCTTGGTACTCCCAGGGGCGAAGACCCTGCAGGGCCAAGGGGACATGTCCACCCTGGTTATGCAAGACCCAGAGCACCCTGCCCAGGCATCCTGGCAGCTCCCATGCACTTCCCTGCATGGAAAGTGGTACCTGTGTGTATACACAGATCCTTAGTAATAGCTGGAGCCAGGGTGGATGAGAGTAGCTTCCTGCAGGGCCAAGGGGACATGTCCACCCTGGTTATGCAAGACCCAGAGCACCCTGCCCAGGCATCCTGGCAGCTGCCATGCACCTCTCTGCATGGACAGCGGTACCTGTGTGTATACACAGATCCTTAGTAATAGCTGGAGCCAGGGTGGATGAGAGTAGCTCCTGTATGTCCTACATTTCAGCTGCAATCTGAGGGGTCTGAGGATTCTAAGCTTGAGCCTGGCTTTCAGGCCATTATAAAGGTCAAGGCAGGAGGAGAGAACACATTTTATTAACAGTTGGTTGGCTTAATTTGTAACTTGTAGTTTGGATCCCCACACCAGCCAGCAGCCAAAAAAAAAAAAAAAAAAAAATGCTTGTAACTTCTAAATATTTGGACACACAGTATGTGGCATCCATTTGTATTTCTATCCTGGTTTCACAAATATGAGGGTGGGCCTAAGGGATATCATCTGAGGGTCAGAGAGGCTCTTGACTTCATCACAGAAGCCTGTGATGCTCCCTGGCCCATGTGGGAGGCATTAGGCCTGCATCCCAAGGACGGGGATCCCTGCAAGTCCTGCCTGCAAACAAGATGACTTTGCATTTATGGTGACGCCTATACATGGTGACAAGGCCCCTAGGTGAATGGGTTTGTTTGGCACTTTACGTTTTTCAACAAGCTTTCGCATGCCCTCTTGATATCCCGGTGGGTAATCCCACTGGGCACAGCAGAAGGGAAAACAGACACTTAGTGCTGCTACAGAAAATGCCAGAGTTAAGCACTTTGGGATAGCAATTTTTCAGGAGGGGGACTACTGGGTCAGATGGTCTGAATGCTGTGTCAAAGTCAAATTGCTTTCTAGAAGACTCCAGGAAAGGACTCAGAAATCACCAGCAATGATGACCAGGCATACCATACTCCTACCAGCAACTATTGTAATTAAAAATATATATTTTGTAACATTAAGTAGAGAATGATATCTTAAGACTGGTGTAATTAGCATTTGTTATTGTAAGTAAAGATCAACATTTTCCCCCAAGAACTACATACTATTTATATTTCCTCATATAAACAAGGGCTAAAAGCCTATGTCCATTCTCCTATAGAGGAACTTAATATCTTCTTTTGGGCGAGGGGGAGCTGGCTGGTAAGGGGATCCGAACCCTTGGCCTTGGTGTTATATAACACTGCGCTCTGACCAGTTGAGCTAACTGGCCAGCCCGGAACTTAGTATCTTTCTAACAAATAGAAACAAGCCTCTGACATATCCTGACAGACTCTCCACACCTCATTCACCCCAAAGAAGGGCCAAGTTACTCCTAAGTTTGCTGATTTCTGACTCTCTCAGAAAGACTGCTGTTTTCTTTGATAATGATATTCATTAAATTATTACATCCAATCCTATACTACCAGAGATTTGCAACGTTGCTTAAACAAACAAACATATTTAAAAATACATAAGCAATATGTGTTCAATGTAGAAAAAACACAAAATGCAGATAAGTAAAAAGATTTTTAAAAAAATCACCTGTAATTCCACCACTTGAAGATAACTCACTATTACATTTTGGGGTAAATCCTATCAGACTTTTTTTGATGCATGTAGCTTGGCATAGCCTTTGTCTTCTTTTGCTGCACAATTTTCTGCAGAAATCTTTTCAAATCAATGTGGAAATGCCTAGAATCATGCCCATGGCATCCCTCTTGCTGGCTGTGCAGAGCTCCATCACTTAGGACCACTAGTAATTTATTCGGTTCCCTTCCTTGGGACTCGGGCTATTAGAAGCAATGTGGGATGAATATCACTGTAGCTACATCTTAGTGCCCTTTAAACTATGTCCTTAGGATGAACTCCATTTAACCTATGATTCTTATGTTTCATCTTCAAAGGGGGAAAATATGAACAGCATTCCAAAGATAGTATAATGATCATCTGTAGGTATAATAAACATCTGTTCCTACTTAGTTAGATGAACTAATCTGTTAATTTACCTTCTAAAATATCATTTGCCATTATTTAAAAGTTTGGGTTATTTGCCTTTAAAAAAAGTTTTTCCCAATGGCTAAAAGATAAAATTTTGGAGAATTAGAAAATTTGCAGTTGAAATTTTAAAATATAAAGCTTTTCATAGATCATTAAAAAAAACTGTTAAAATCATGCTTGCATATTAACTTGTAGTTTATGTGACGTAATTTTTTTTTTTTTTTTATTCCTTTTTGTCTTTTTTACTGACCGGTAATGGGATCGCAACCCTCGGTGTCGCGCCCGCACCGCGCTCAGCCAGTGAGCGGGAACCGGTCTCCACATGGGATCCGAACCCTCGGCGGGAGCACCGCCGCGCTCCCAAGCGGCGCACTCTCCAGTGCGCCACCAGGCCGGCCCTATGTGATGTAATTTTGAGGAGACTTACCAAATACATAAGACTGTCACGTTCCTGGGTTATATTCTCTGCCAGGCCAACAAGGTTTGCCAGGTACTGGTGAGCAGACATTTCATTCCCCATGGCTTTTTCCACCTGCTTTTTGAGGACATCAATTTTCTTTTGCAATTTCCTAGAGAGTTCCCCCAAATGGTGGAATAAAAAACTCATTAGCCTGCATGGCTAGGGCATAGTGATTATCTGTATTATAAAAACAACAAGTATGTTAGCATTTAAATGCTATTCTTCAGCAAACCTAAATCTTCTCTTAAGTTTCAAGGTGAGAAGAGGTAACTGAATTTAATTTGAAAGCAAAAATAAGTATTGATTCCAAATCAAGTTAAGAGTCACAAAATACCTAACTATGAATAAGCTAATTAAATATTACTTTATTAACCTTCTGGCTTATGTTCTAAAAGACACTTTTGAAAAAGGAATCCAGTAATCACAAAGTAGACTTTTGGGAAATGGTTAGGAAAGAACTTCTAAACCTTCTAGAGTCTTAGGGTCATCATATGGCTCTTAATCATATTTGAACTACAAACTTGAGAAGTGCTGGTCACTGTTGGTCAGCAGTAAGAGCTTTTATTGTACTTATATTCTGATATCCAGTAATCTCAAAGCCTTTTCCATTTTATAACCACTATTAGAAAAAGAAAAGATAAAGGGATAAAATGGAATATTCTTCAGTTGTTTTTTAACTATTGAAAAAAAAAAAAAAAAACTCAGGGAAAAAAATATAAACCTATTTGTTTTATGTGTCCTTTCAAGTTCAGCTTCCAGTGCTTTGTTTTGAGCTGACAAGTTGTTCTTCTCTAAAAGCAGGCTCTTCTTCTGCACTTGCAGGACTGTCAACTTTTCCATCAATTCTTCCATCTCAGCACTTCCTTTCTCTTCTTCCTTCTGTAACTGGCTGGAGGACAAAAACATTACAGGCATGCATCCGGTACACTGAGGCTAAAATGAGGCAGTCACTGCCAGACAAGTGATCAACAGCCCAGCTCTCCAGCCCCTGGAGGGTGGTCACTTGGAAGGCCCCTGTGGAAATGTCTGTCCATGCTAGGCCACACAGGACCTGGAATCATGCCGCTAGAGGATAGGAGAGAGGGTGTGGCTGAGCACACACTTCTCTGATAGTGATGATCTAACCCCTTTTATTGCCCAGTTTTTGCTTATGTCTATGTATATATATAAATACTTATTTATACTCTATTCCTTCCAGAAAAAAAATCTAAGACATCTCAATTTTTCACATGGTCATGATTGCTAGAAAGTAAATCCTACTGCTAAAACAAATTTTATTTCATAATAATGTAATTATAAATACATGCTTTTGTAATAAAAGAAACAAAGAACAAAGGGGATACTGGTTTCGTTGAACACCAGCTTGAGTGTTGTCAAACTTGCACGGAGAGTAACATGGGGTAGGAGCTGCATATCTGTCATATGCAGTAGGAATACATAACAATGTATGATTTTTTTTGTTGTTGTTCACAACACCTTTCTCATCAACAATGTATGATTTTAAGGCTAGTCTGTTAACTGTAACTTAAAAACATAAAAAATCCAGCATTCATTTCCTTCATTAAAAACTTCACTATGATTGTATTGCATAAATTGTTGAACTGGAATAATGACAAAGGGTTGAAAATACAAATACTTCTGCTTCTAGCCAAGATAGAGTTACAGAGACCAGATTCACCCTTCACCTAGAAAACCAGGCCAAACATACAAAACAACAGCCTTTGGACAACAGGCAATGTAGGACCGTGATCCCTGAAAGAAGGGAAAACAAGGTGAGAGCTATAACTGTTCCACTTACTGCCTGGCGTGGTGCAGGGAGGGAGAACCCAAGCAGAACCCAGCAGACTTGCAGAGCTGAGCAGTCAAGAGATGAAATAGCAGAGCGGTTAAGGCAGCTAGAATTTCTAGAGCAGAGAGGGGGAAGTTTGAGAGAGAGAAAGGGCTGTGGGGATCTTTAGGGGGTCACCACAAGTCTTTGGCTGAGTACTCATCTGTACATGTCTGAGAGGAAACTGCCCAAGGCTGATTAAAGAAACACTAGAAATGAGTAGGCAGAACAATTCTTGACATTCACAAAAAACAGGAAGTAGTGCATGAGCCCACCAGTCAGAGCAGAAAGACCTTATAATATAAGGCGCATTAGACAGAATCCTCAGAAGAATATTACTGCCTTAGTTGTGGGGCTAAATTTGCCCTAGATTAAAGGTTGCTTCAGGCTCACCGCAACACAGTAAGTTTTGAAAGAATCCAACTATTCTCCAGTAACTTAAGTGTGCACCAGAACAAAATCTAACAGTATTTAAAGCAAGCAATACATCTAGCACCAAACATTATAAAATCTACACCACCTAGAATCTAATCAAGAATGGGAATAACCAATAAAACACGATCCATTATCAGGAGGGAAAAGGAAATCAATAGAACAGATACAGAACTGAGAGAGATGGTAGCATTGGCAAACAAACGCTTTTAAAGGGCTATTATAAATATGCTCCTTATGTTCAAGAAAGTAGAGAAAAATAGCATGAGGAGAAAAATGGAAAATATAAAGAGACTCAAATGGATCTTTCTAGAAATGGAAAAAAATGACATATGGAGCGAACAACACAGCAGATTAGAATACAGAAGAACAGATTAGTGAACTTGAAGACTAGCAACAGAAACGAACCAATTAAAGCACGTAGAGAATAAGAGAAAAAAGAGGGGCCGGCCCGTGGCTCACTCGGTAGAGTGTGGTGCTGATAACACCAAGGCCACGGGTTCGGATCCTATATAGGGATGGCCGGTTTGCTCACTGGCTGAGCGTGGTGCTGACAACACCAAGCCAAGGGTTGAGATCCCCTTACCGGTCATCTTTTAAAAAAAAAAGAAAAGAAAAGAAAAAAGCAGAGAGAGAAACAGGAGCGGGGGAAAAATGAACAGAGCACCAGTGATCTGTGGGACAACATCAAGCAGTCCTTGGAGGAAAGATGAGAGTGGGAAAAACAGAAAAGAATCGTAAAGAAATAACAGCTGGGCGGCTGGTCGGCTCAGTTGGTTAGAATGCAGGTAATGCCGAGGTCAAGGGAGACCCCTGTACCCATCAGCTGCAAAAAAAAGAAAAGAAAAGAAAAGAAATAATAATTGAACAATTTCCAAATTTGAAAATATATAAATCCACAGCCCCAAGAAGCTCAATGAACCTCAAGCAGAATAAAGAAACATGCCAAAGCACAGACTAATCAAATGGATGAAAACCAGTGACAAAGAAAAATTCTTAAAAGAAGCCTGAGAAAAAATGGCGGCGGGTCTGGAGCACCCGCGTCAGGAAACAGCGCGATCCTGAGAGCTGTGTGCTGTGATA